TTTTCATCCATAACAAATACTTGAGCATGCCAAGATAAGTTACTTGTCTATATTATTCCTGGTTGATTCTGACGATGAGTTTCCCATTTAGTAAAATCTTATTATCACTTATAAATCGCTTTTGGAATAATGTCTAGATCTAATGACAATAGGTTGGCAAGCTTTTGTGAGATTATCACATAATTCATGAGCCTTTATTGTTGTTAGAGCTGTTTTTATTGTTTGTTCTTATTAGAGCTTATTGTTGTTAGAAGCCTGCTAAGGTTGTAGGTGGTTTTTTTCCATCATATTTAGTGATAACATTTTGGTGCAGTTCTTGCTATTCTCTGTACCAACAGTAATATCTCTCCATAAGTTATCTGCTAGATACCTTGATAAAATGCAACTTGATTTTATTATAGAACTTTATTAATTACTTTGTTTTGGAGAGTTATTGAAACATCAAAATTGGTGAGTTTGTGCTAATAAAGTAGTTGATACCATTCTGATAACACGCTCTTCATTAATAACATCCAAATTGAATGACTAGTTTATTGTTAAAAAAACTGTTATTTGTACTATCGCAATCTATCAAGGCTATTTGTACTTATCATTAATAGTGATGTTTGGCTGATTCTTAAGAAAGAATTTTTTGAGGCTGATATGCTGGCACAGAAGTAATCATCATCAGTTTTAAAAATAGCTGCAGAAACATATTTCCAGGCAATCTGGAAAGTTTTTAAAATCATCTTTTTGCATTTATGACACATAATTTGCCAGCAGCGTAATGCTTTAAAACAAGGCCTGTTGTATATTTTACCAACAGGATTTGATTTATATAAGTAGCTTAATCATTATCAGTTGTTGATAGGTTTTGCAATAATGAGTTGATCTCTTGGATAGATGCAGAGGTAAATAAGATTGGGTATTTAAGTTTTTTGACCACATTTGAAGATTTTGTTTTTAAAAGCTGATGATATGTCTTGCTCTCTTGTAAACAGTGAGATATAATGTTAGAAACGTAACAATGTATGAAGGCAACATGAATCAGTTTAAATTTATATTGTTCTGCAATTACAGAAGTGAATTTACAGTCCTTATATTGTTCTGTACTTACTGCAGTGAATTTGCAGCCCTTATATCAGGGATTATCTTTTTCTGGATATTTCCGGAATTCCAGATATTTTTTCAACTTTTAGTTTTTCCAGATATCTAAAACATTTTCAATACATGCTAGTTGAGGTATATATTTTTGTAATATATTGATTTTTTAAGCTTTTTCACTTACCACTTATAGAAAAATAATGAAAAGTGTCAACAAAAAAATTGGAAAAAACTTAGCTAAAAGCAGGCTTTCACAGGAAGATGTGCGATTTCACGTCTTTATATGACCACGCAAGTTACATTTTGCTATGACGGTTTGACCGCAACTAATTCAAAAAACATTTTAGAAATGCGCTAAATAAAAAATATTCTAAAAAAGTGAAATTAATTACATCAAAACTTCTTAACAAATGTTTTTATATAGCGAAACGATTTTAAATAAAGTAACAATTACAAACAAAATACTGAAAAAAAATTTTGTCTTTTAAATATAATTGACAGTTGTATATATTTTTTTAATTTAAAACATATAAATTGTTTAAGTGTTCATTTCTAAAATAAATCTTATTAAAAAATAAAAAATTGTTTTGTTTTTATAAACGATGACATTCTACAACTACGAAAGTCTCTTTAACGAATTTAAATATAAGAATGATTAAAGTTAATGCATTTGAAAAAATAAACAAAATTTCGTTAAAAAAATGTTTTAGAAAACCGTTAAAATTTAATAAGTTTGATCTTAAATGCTTTTATATTATCGAAACGCTTTTAATGAAGTAAAACACTTCTAATTAATTTTAAAAAAAGTACTGATAAAATATTTTTTTATTTTATTTATATAACTATGTATTTTTTATGAGAAATATTTAACTTTTGAACATATTAAATAAATAAAAAATATATAAAAATGTTGAAACAAAGATTGAAAAGGTTTTTTAATGCGTAAATTAAATAGACTAAGCATTTTAGTTTGATGAGTTTTATTTAGTTGCGTTATATATATATATATATATATATATATATATATATATATATATATATATATATATATATATATATATATATATATATATATATATATATATATATATATATATATATATATATATATATATATATATATTTATTTTTTTGTATTTTTTTTTTTTGTGTTTTTTTTTTTTTAATCATCTTCGCTTCCAACAAGGCTGCAAGCAACCACTAATTAGTGTTGGAGAGAAAAGATGAGGATTATAGAGCAAGATAACGATTGACAGACGACTTTAAAGATTGCAAAATGTATGAATCAGGAAAGCAAGATGAAGGAAGCGAATTCCAAAGAACCGATATTCAAGAAAAAAAACTAGACAAGTAAGAGTTTTTGGAGCACTTAGGAACAGTAACAGAAAAAGGATGAGACTTAATTAAATAACGAGTAAGACAAAAATGAATTTTTGTAGATGGCACAAGAGACACTAGCTCTTTAGAGCAGTGCCCATTATAGTATTTGTAGAAAAGAGAAAGATAAGCAACATTACGACGATGTGACAGAGGTTGAAGGTTGGCTGCAAGAGTAGGTCCAACTATGTTTACAATGCGCTTTTGCACCTTGCCTAAAAGAGAAAGGGCATCATTAGAAGATCTGCCCTAGATATGGCAATAGTATTCCATACAAGGCCAGATTTGAGATTTATAGAGATAGAGAATAGAATCCAGAGTAAGAAAGTGACGAGCTCGATAAAGAGAAGCAACTTTAGTAGATGCTAATTTTGCAACGGATTTGATATAAGGTTTCCGAGAAAGATCAGAAGTTTTTGCTTTAACCAAGTATTTTTTTATTTTCTCTTTCGTTAATATTTATTATCTTTTTAAATTTTTTTTTCAGATAAGTTTAGGTAAATTTTTGTAGCGCGTTTTTAAATTTTAAAAATATGCCGTGGTTAAATTGTTAAAAAAATTTTTTTTTTCCGTGGTCATATAAAGACATGAAATCGCACGTCTTCCTGTGAAAGCCTGGCTAAAAGCGAAATTAAGAAGAAAATAAGGGAAAACAAATTCCAGATTTTTTGAAGTAATCAATATATATAAAATAAAACAGCATTAAGAAAATATATATATATATATATATATATATATATATATATATATATATATATATATATATATATATATATATATATATATATATATATATACACATAAATATATATATATACACATAAATATATATATATATTTTCTTTATATATATATATTTTCTATATTTTTCTTTCTTATTATGTATATATGTGTGTATATATATATGTATGTATATATATATATATATATATATATATATATATATATATATATATATATATATATATATATGTATATATATATATATATATATATATATATATATATATATATATATATATATATATATATATATATATATATATATATATATATATATATATTAGTGATATACTGATATTATATTACTGATATTATATATTAGTGATATATGATAGCACATTTGTGGCCGATACTGATGGATGGGAAAAGGTTGATACCAATGAATTAACTAATTATCAAAATTTTGAAAATATAACCCAATAGAATTTTAAATCTTGTTAACTTTTGCATGGAATCAGTACTGGTAAATAAATACTTGAACTCAAATCAGAGATAAACCATTATTTTAAAAAGTATTAGAAAAACTCAGTTAAAAAAATATACATTTTTTAGTTTTTTTTACTATGAAAAGAAATCTTTCAAAAAATAAATACAATTTTAGAGGAATGCTTTTTATTTCAGTTTTAAAAAGAAAATGGTATTAAGATAAGCAATTTACATAGAATTCTTTATTAATTTATTATTAGTTTAGATATCTGGACAACAATCATATAAAATATAGAAGGCTATACTTGAACACATATAGATAAGAATGCTTTAATAGGTTACTCTTAAGTATATCAATAAAACAGCATAATAAAATTATTCTAAAAAAAACATAGTAATAAAAGTATAAGTACATTCAGTTATTAAATTAAAGCTTATAAACATTGTCTTTAGAATAAACAAATTTGCCTGTAAATGTGTTCAAAATTTTCTTTATTTCTCTAAAAAATTCTAAGTTCGTTCTAAAAAATTCTAAAAATTCTAAGGTTCGTCCAAAATGAACGTCAAACAGAATTTAAATAATAATTAGAAGTAGAAGATCATTGGCTTTCTTTTGCATTTATTTTTTGAATTAAAAGTGGCAAAGATATATTAAGATTAAAAATAAATTTATTATATTATTCTTAATAATTATTATTTAATATACACTCATTATTTTATAATAGAAAAATATAAAGTTCCTAATATATATTAGGAAATCGGACCTTAATTTGCTGTGCCATTATGAAACCATGTTTAATTTTGTGTTTATTTCATTTTCATCTTCAATGTTACAAGACGGTATTTTATTTTATTTTTGGCGTTGTTCAATAAATGTATGCAGCGGTGAAGTGGAGTAGAAATAAAAAAGAATATAGGAAAAAAACCCCACGCATTCCCGGAACACATTTTAATCTCAGCGGAGAGGGGGGGGGGGAGTGGCAGCAGGATTTTGACAAATTCCCAATTTCGTTAAAACGCTGTTTAAAGTTTTTTCCTGGTTAACACCCTGATATTGCAGAATAAAAATATTAATAAATAAGATAAAATGTCATCAGTTGGAAAATTATAAATTAATTAAAGAAAACCGATACCAATTCTGATTGTGAAAAAAGTAGTGGATTAAGCTGATGCCAATGTCAATATGTCAATTAATCGGTACATCGCCAATATATATAAAAATTTAACTTGACATAATTTTACATTTGATTACATTTAATTTTACGTGTTTTTTATTTTGTTTTTCCTTTTTATTTATACTGTAAAATAAAAATAAAGTTGACATTTTTTAGCAAAAATTTCCTCTTAAAGAATGGATGATTGGGTTTTCTGTTGCAACTATATTAATATGTATTGTACTGCGTATTTTACAGAGGAAAGGGTGAGCCTTTTTTCATTTTTATTTGAAATAAATTTTTTAGTGTGCAATTTCAAGAAATGCAAGTTGATTTGTAGTTTACAAAACAGCTTTGAGTTACATGTTGCATTACAAACAAGAGAAGTTTTTCATTTTGCAAATTACAAACAAGAGAAGTTTTTCATTTTGCAAATTACAAACAAGAGAAGTTTTGCATTTGCAAATTACAAACAAGAGAAGTTTTGCATTTTGCAAATTACAAACAAGAGAAGTTTTTCATTTTGCAAATTACAAACAAGAGAAGTTTTGCATTTGCAAATTACAAACAAGAGAAGTTTTGCATTTTGCAAATTACAAACAAGAGAAGTTTTGCATTTTGCAAATTACAAACAAGAGAAGTTTTGCATTTTGCAAATTACAAACAAGAGAAGTTTTGCATTTTGCAAATTACAGACAAGAGAATGTTTCTAACCATTAAAAATGTTTGTAGATGTTTTGAGACATGAATGTCAAAACATTTAAATTGTTGATTTTTTATCCTGATTGTGTTAAACTATTCTTCTAAAAATGAAAAAAACAATTTAAAAATGCTTTTAAAATATAAATGTAATCATGTTACATAAAAATGTAATCATGTTAGCCTTTACTGAATATTGAATACAAATTTAGATAAACTTTAGTTTTTTGTTATCGCTTAAAAAGCATATTTTTATGCATAAATTAAATAATTTTACTTTCAATAATTGGGGTTAAATTTTAGAAACATTACCGTATCTTTAATTCTTTAAAATTTTGTAACAATATCAAGTTTTTAATCACACTTCTACCAGACACACTTTTAAAGAAGAAAAAAAATTGCATTTTACTTGTGATGTAATTATTCAATTGTATTCAACAATGTAAAACCATAAAATATGAGATAATATTTAAAAACTAAAAATTTGTAACTAGCTTTAAAGGCATTGCAAACCTCTAAGACATGTGTTCATATTAAAGAGAATGACAAAAAAAAAAGTATTTAGGATAGATTTTTTTGATTAAAACAAAACAATAAATGCATACCAAGAAAATTTATTTTTTATTTTTTTTATTTTAGTTAATGCTCCCTTTCTCCGTTTTGTTGTAGGCCAAAAAGTCAGCATAATATAAGTTGCATTCTACAGACTTGATAATTTATTCAAGCGTATTTTATTTCTAAGAGTTTCAGTATATGACGTCATTAATTTTTTTGTCAGTGTAAAAAATAAATTATGTAAACAAAAAAAAGCAATGACGTCATATATTGAAACTCTTATGAATAAAACGCGCTTGAATAAATTATCAAGTCTGTAGATTGCGGGGTATATTATGCTGACTTTTTGACCTACAACAAAAAAAAGAAGTATGCATTTATTCTTTTGTTTTAATCAGGGAAAAAAGAAAAATTCAATGTTCTGTTAATTATACAAATTTGATCAATAAATAAAAAAACTCATATATACAGGCCTCTTTTAAAGCGTTATGCAGTTTGTAATTTAAGCTATTTTACATACTCCTAGAGCAATTTTGGTTAAACGACTTTCTAAAATTTTTTAACTTTAAATTTAGTTTTAATTTGATGTTAGATAAAAGTTAATTTTATAAAAAACCACTTAAACTTTTGAATGGCAATTATGTAAAAAAGTTTGTTACAAAAGCTTGGAAGGCAACTATGTTGGCGCTTTTTACAAATAAATAATTATAGGCACTATTTGCAAATAAAATAAATTCAGATAAAATTAAAAGCAAAGGAAATATAATTTATATTAAGCTAACCTTTTTATTGAAATATTTAGTTACAGAAAACAAATTTGTTGATAGTTAACAAATTTTTTTGTATACAAAGTTATTAAACAAAATGTTTAAAAAAAAAAAATATAAGAAATATTTATAAAAAAAAAAACTTTATTTTTTATCTTGCAGCAACAAGAATATTGATTTATTTGATGTTTTATTGGGAAAGCACCTCTGCAATAAATAGATATATAATTTTGTTTGAGGTAATCTTTGAGTTATGTTACCATTTGTCTTTGTTCGTCGTTTATCTTCCAATATGTATTTCCAGTATACACATCTTGGAAGATGATTGATGAACAAAGAAAAGGTGTGTTAACTGGAATTTTTTTCCATTCCTGTGCTGCTAAAAAGTTTATATATTATTTGAATATTTTTCTAGCAGAAACCTTGTTGTATTGAATTTGTTTATTTGAAAGAGTATTATTGAAATTGTTTGATAGATTTTATTTGACATTTTTAATTATTGCTTTTGTATAATAAATGAATAAATGAAATAAACTTGTTAATTATTTTCAGATTTTTATCTTTTATGTCTTATTACAGAGATTACAACAACTTTTATGTCTTATTACAGAGATTACAACAAATATCACAAACATTTTATGTCTTATTACAGAGAT